CCCCAAAACCCCAAAACCCCAAAACCCCAAAACCCCAAAACCCCAAAACCCCGAATGTCTAAAACTTTAATGACTAATAACATAAATGGAGTGGCCGAAATCCCTGATAATAGATATGGACTCGCCTAGTCTCTTAGGCAAGGTAAGTGCCGTTTTAAGCTGAGAAAACTGGGTTTTGGGGAATTAGGAGGACTAGAGAGGGTGAAATAGGGGTTTTAGAGGGGTTTTGAGGGGTTTTAGGGGGATTTGAAGGGGATTGGAGGGGTTTTAGGGGGCTTTGGGTAGGAGAGGAGGATGGAAAGGGGTGAAAGAGGAGGTTAGGGTTGATATTTTAGTGGGAAAATGGATTTGGGGGTATAGGGAGGGTGATAGTTTTTGGATATAAATTTCGTCAAATTTCGAAGATTTTGGGATTTCGCTAAAATTACCAAAAGATGACTTTTTGTTAATCCATTGGGGAGAACATTTTAGTGGAAATACAAGTCTGAGTTTTGCCAAAATTAGGAAAGATTAAGCCTACCACGTGTTTTAACATATTTTTAGTATTTAGACTTTGATTTGACCAGATCCTTGTTAGCCAAGTCTGAAGTTACTAGACATTATAATATGTATCCACTATTTTTAATTTTATTCTCAAAGGGTTTATAAAGATTTCTACATTTATAATCATAATTTTGAAGTAAGCTTGATCCAGCTTCTCTTATTTAAATTTATTTTATCATCTTCTTTCTTCTAATACTATCTTCCCAAGAAGCATTACAAAGTATTACTATCTTTATCCTTTTCCACCCTTTGTTTCTATGTACTTTAGATGGAGCAATTAATCCGGGAAGCCACTAATCCAAAAGATGGTACCATAAGCAAATAACGAAGAAGAGATTTCAGAACAAGACTTTTGGCTTGACAACTTGTATAAAAGTTTAGAGAATCTTCCTAGAAGTAAGCTATCAAACTCAGTTAAATCTGATCCATTAATTATATAGAAATCATTGATAGGGTTTATTTCTATTCATCTTTCTGAAATAAGTACACAAGTGAGGTTTTCACTAAGATAAAATAATCACTTCTCTTATAAGAGCGAAGCTTCACCAGACCCTAGTCCTGGAGGTGAATCTTCTGCCACTCCTAAGACAATTCAAAAAGCTCAGATTGCTCAACCTATTAGAGCTATCTACGGAGTCCAATCTCTCTTTTGAGAACTCGGGAGACTAATTCAAAGGTCCACTAAAACTGTGATATACTCAGATAACCGTATGTTCTTTGACAGAAGTTATCTTCGCTATATTGCTGAAACCTCCAAGCAGGAAGGAACACCTCTGGTCTCACAGAGGTTAACATCTTGCTTGATTGAAGATATTAATAAATTTGCCCAAGAAGGGATCCAGCAAGAGATCTCTCCTTTAGAGAACTCACAAAAAGTCAGAGATAGTAATATTTGAAACTAAATTTTATAGAGAAAAATTATTTATTGGACATGGAATTACAACCAGAAGAAAGCAAAACACAACCCGAAGATATTAATAATATGACATTTGGAATGCCAGAGAGAGATAATCTAAGCTCTCTAGACGAGGCCTCAACTTGAGATATGTCGATAGCCTCTTCAGAGAAAGCTAATATGATGGAAGAGTTAGGGATGAAATTTATAAATGATTCTGACTACAAAGAATCTCTAATTGATCTATTGACAAAGGTGCCTAAGTATTTTAATAAAAAGCCTCAGAGCGAGAGCATGAAATACATTAACGCATTAGAGAACCTAATCGGGCAACATTTAAATCGATTCGAAAAAGCTAAGAAAAAGAAGCTTAGTCTCAAAGATAAAGAGTACTACTTCCTCTATATCAGAAATTTCTTGGTCAGAAATAAAGTTACTTCTGGCATTCTGCTCGAGATATGGGTTCAAAATCCTATAGGAGACTCAGTAGAGAAAATCAACCAAAGCAATACAGTCAAATTTGATTTTGATAAGCTAAACATGATCATCAACCAGCTAAAAGAGACTAAGATAAAAACTACACTGAAGAACTATAATTTCAAGGGAGATATGAAGCTGTACACTTGCATCTGTTATACTATAATCAAGGAATTGCTTGGCAAAGATTTCAGTAAATCAGGAAAGCCTGTAACATCTTTAAAAAATTTAATCGAGAATATCCACCATATATCTAAGAATTATTACAACAGTAAAGCTATTCCTCCTGAACAGAAGGCTTTGATAAAAGCTGATAGGAGAATCAAATACATCATCGCTGAAATTTTTAGAGCAAGAGGAATTTGGCGTGAAGAAAATAACAATTTCTTCATAAATTCCAGCAAGGTTGAGAGCTTCCTGAACGAATTTAACAAATACGAAGCATCCACTATTTTGAACAACTTGCTCGAAGAAATCACCCAAATTACATCATAAACTAGACCTCAATCTCACCAAATCATGCTGTATGAGATCTCAAAATACTGCGATTCTATTTAAAATCAAGCTAAAGCACAGCTTTCACTTCTACTCAAGGTCTCTCTCAGTAGAAAAGGCTGTGTTTTATCTTAATATTATCTAAAATCTCAACTGAATGTCTCTCTCACAGCTCCTTTATTTCCCCTATTTCTTTCTTCAAAATCTTATTAATCCAGCTTTTTGTATAATTTATGTTCAGCTTCTTAGTGGTGGACAGGTTAATTTTTTGTTCTGGATAAATCGTTAGTGAGTTTGTGGTGAATTGTATGGTCTAGGGAAATTTCAATGTAATTTAAACTTCATGTCTAGAATTATTAGCCTGAAATATTATACTTCTGCCAAAACCACATAAAGCTTCTCTAAGCTTTATTTCTGACCTAAAGTCCTTTCTTCAGCTCCATTACCCACACCCCTCCAGTCCACCCTCAAAATCTAGCTTCTCCACTAACTCACACAAAAAATCCCCAAATTCAGATTCTAAAAATTAGCTAATTACCTTCAATCACGACTGACGCCACCTACCTAGCTTTTAACTTTACCTTAGATCTATATTCCTTCAGAACAATTTATTTAAAATTATCTAAATACTTTAAAATTAGTCAGCCTAGATTGACCATATCCTGCGCCATTGTAGCATGCATATATAAATAGGGTCTAGGCAGCTTGGCTAACTCCCGCAGTTGCCAGTGTTGCGACTGGCTACTCTCCATGGTGGCATAAATTATGGGTACAGGTTTTGGATACAAAAAGAAACCATTTTTGGTTGCTTTAAATGAAAAAATGTGTTTGAACCGAGCTAATAATTCAATTATTATATTTTTGGATGGGGTTTTGGGGTTTTGGGGTTTTGGGGTTTTGGGGTTTTGGGG